CCTCTCAAACGCCAACCTCCGCACGTCGGTAGCCCCGCGGGATCGCTTGCTCGTTCGGCGCCGGACCGCAAATTTAACCACCCCTAACTCCCGAACCCTATCGACGCGGGGGTGGTCTCATTCAAAAGCGGGCCTCTAGACGTACACTTGATTCGCGTTCGAGAGGTTTCCTCGAGCTGAAGGGATCCCCCGAATTTGGCGTGGATTCGCCGCGCCGTTACGGAGACATGGCCGTTCAAAGTTTCAATGGTTTTCCATAGACTTAAGCTTTAAAGAGTGCTTTCTCACTGCAAAAACATCTGATGAGGCCCTTTCCAGGACAGCAGCTCACAACAGAGAAGAGGGTGTATAACTATCGTTTGTCCCGGGCAAGAAGAGTAGTAGAGAATGCCTTTGGCATACTCTCCAATCAGTGGAGAGTCTATAGACGGGTGATGGCTGTTACGCCTGAGAAAGCAGAGGCGATTGTGAAAACCACATGCATTCTGCACAATTTCCTACGGATTCATGGCAACAAATGTGAGGAAGAGCATGCAGTACGAAGTTCTCCATGTGACTCCCAGGATTCTTTGCAGCCAGTATTAAGAATGGGAGCCAACAGCAGCAGCAGACTTGCAGTGTCTTTTAGAGAAAAATTCTGCACCTATAGCTCACCTCAAGGAGAAGTGTCCTGGCAACACTCCATTGAATAAACTAATATGATCAACTGGCTACAGATATTAAACTAGGAAAAATCAGTTTCAAATGTGTAGTTACAATAATCAGTATATAGCATATAATAATACAATCAAAAAGTCAATTAATCAGTAGATAATGAAAAGCAGTTGTTACAGTAAACAAAAAATTGATTAAATAAAACAGATTGCTTAGTACTGATTTGTGTCTATCTAGCCTTCTTGAACCTGATGCACACCTTTCAAAAGTTTGGGGCCGGAAATATTTTTAATATTTTTGAAAAAATGATCTTCTGCTCACCAAGGCTCCATTGATTTAATCAAAAATAATAACAGTAATATTTAAAATTGCTGATTTGCTACTCAATTACACACACACGCGCACACACACACGGTTTACTATCCTTGTGGGGACTCTAATGGTTTTTATACTGTAAAAACAGTATTTTCTATCGCCCCCTACTACACCAACCCTTACAGCTAAAACTACCCTCACAGGAAACTTTCTGCATTTTTACATTCTAAAAAAAAAAAACCTCATTGTGTGTGATTTATAAGCTTGTTTCCCCATGGGGAAATGCATTCTTTCTGAATAAAGGCATTAATTTAAATGCTTGGATAATTAGTGTAAACATTTTAAAAAATGTTACAAACAAATTTCTGAATACATCACTGTTTCCATAAAATTATTAATCAGCAAAACTGATTTATATTGTATCTGTATCATTATATTATATTTGAATGACTGTGTGTGTGTGTGTATGTATGTATATATATGTATATATATATATATATATATATATATATATATATTAGGATTAGAATATGTATATTATTTATCATGTTTATATTTTTTATTATGTTATTTATGTATATATTGTATCTATCTATAATATTTATTTAGGCTATGTGTATTAATTCTCTCTCTCTATCCAATTGTGTATTATGTATTCATTCAACTTTATTAATTGATTCATGTCTTTTGTTTGTCCTGTGTATTTTTATGCATTTATTTATAACAATAAATTACTTTATTTCGTTGCTCCAAATGAGCCTCTGTCCTGGTGTTCACAGACATGACTTTTTATTCTGAGGTAAAATGTGCTAGCTAAATAGGTGATTGTACTTACCTTATTTGATCAATGATTTACAAGCTGTCGACGAAGGCGTATCTGCGATCTGAGCTGTTGATCCAATCAACGTTAAAACGCCGATGAAAGCGGTAAGAATAACATGAAACACTGCTGGTGTTCGCGCAGTACTGAGGGCTCTTTAAATGTTGGCGCTGTTGTGAAGACGCAAGTCACGTGACGACATCAACATGGCGGATGTAGTACGTCCGAATTCCATTCATACTACTTGCATTCATACTATATAGAACCTACTTTTTAACGGTCGAGTAGTACGTTCAAATTCAAATGTAGTACCTACTAAGCAGTATGCGATTTCGGACGCACCTAAAATATCTTTATCTTTGGCGGCGCCTGCCGCGAAGCGCCGTGCCCGAGGAAGCGGCAGGATTTTGGGTGCAGGAGCACCGCTTGCGCTCCGCTAGTGAAACCGCCCGCGTTCTGCCGCTTTCCGCATGTCTCCCATTGAGAATGAACTAACAGTAAGACACTCGCGACTGCCGCATAGCGTGTGAAAGGGCCTGAGATGAGGAAGATGAACTGTCAGCAGTCTCTCTAGTTTAAAAATACAATTCGCGGGACTCGTTTGTCTGTGTCGGCTGTGAGAAACCACAAAAAATATTTCTTAATTTACCACTGACAAACTGCTGTGTATAACACTGCATATATTTAACACTTGCCGTTGATAACTTTGATGTAATGGCGCGTTAGCTCCTTGATTCTGCCTACACGCATTGTGATAACTGAGCTGGTTAATCTTCAGATAAAGTTGACAATAAAACACAAAACGTTCAAAAGTACTTTAAATAGTAATAAAGAAGTCCGAATTACCTGTTATTATCCGTGACCGCGTCGCGAGCAGTCCCGCTGTGATCCCGTGAGTGAGTGAGCTCGTGGGGGATGAGACGACACGTGACTGACTGAAAAATGCGCGCGGTTTTTGAAAAACACCCGGATAATATTTTGTCTCGAGTCAAATTAATTACTTTAAAATGATTAATCTATGCTTAATATGAAATATATTTATGTATTTATTGTATTATCATTTAGTTATTTAATTAGTTATGAAAAGTAATATAGGCTATTACCGTTTAGGCTATTTAATTAGTTATAAACGATATAAAGCATAATAACATATCAGAATCAGAATCAGAATCAGAAGAGCTTTATTACCAAGTATGTTTACACACACAAGGAATTTGACTTGACGACAGGAGCTTCCAGTGTAGAAGAAAAAGCGTCTGCTAAATGACTAAATGTAAATGTAAAAAGAAAAATGTTGACCATCTATCTAAAACAAACAAAAAAAAGTATCAGATACGTTCTTAAACAGTACGTGGCAGTCAAAATCTTGTAACATTACAATTTAAAAGTTTGAGAGTTTGTTACCAGTTAGAAAAGAAAAGAAAAAATGCTGACTTATCTTACCGTGATCTAAAACAAATAAAAAGTATCTGATATGTTCGTTAAACAATAAGACAGTTTTTCTATGTTAACATTTTTAAAGTTGATTACCAGTTAGAAAATAAAATAAAAAGATCCGTGTATCTTACGTTGTTTCCGTCAGATACATCCTCACTCGAGCCTGTCAAAACCATAGACTGTATAAACATGGACGTAGTGTCCGTGACGTCACCCGTAGATTTCCGAAGAGCGTTTTTGAAGCTCAAAAGTTCGCGGGGCGGGCCATCGCCATCTTGGCCACGCGTCACTCCCGGGTAATCGAAAATGGGCAAAGAGGCGGGAGCTGGTTGGTGAAGCCACGCCCATCTAGCTCGACTCGGGTGAGTTATAAAAAAATTCACCCCCCTCACAGCTGTCACGAAGGGCAAAATTAGCTATATAGACCAAAATCATTTTTTTAACCAGGCTGTAAACATGTTTTTTTCTGCTGTAAAGTTGGGCATTTTACAGTTTTCAGTGGCGGTTCTACATTGAATTTACACCCTGGGCGAGACCCCCTTCGAGCGCCCCCCCCCCAAATTTGTTTTTATTTCTCAATTGCACAAATCCTTCATTAGAACATTTGAAAAACACACTTAAGAGAATCCAGTTATTTACCTATTGCAATTACAACAGGAAACACACTTTTTAAGGTGCACAACCTCCACCTCCAACATTGCCAAAAGACAATGAACACAATTCTGCACAAAATATGACAGTATAAGTTATCTGAACTTAAATAAATAAACACTATACACTGTATCTAATTTGCACATTAATGTGTTCTTGGAGCAACATTTAATAAAAAAATAAGTGTAATAATTGGAGTAATAATTGGCAACATTTTAATAATAATATCTAATATTTCATAGGAATATTGATGTATAATTTATTTCCATATTCACTTGTTGTGTCTCCCAAAATGCCTGATAAACATGATTTAAGTCCTGATGTCCTCTACAGTGGACATGTATGAAATCAATGCCCTGTTCTGTAACAGAAAGTCATTTTTTGATTTGAAACCCCATAACGTTTTGACATAACGTCTGAGATGTTGGTTTATGAAATACAATTTGAAAAGTAGTCCGATTTAAATTATAATTACACAGATTTGAAAATTCCGTTGGCTAATTACAGGGCCTAACGTTAACCCAACTGATGGAAATAAATAATAACTGAACTTGTAACAGTTTTGTTGCAAAGCACAATATTATGGTGAAATTAGATCTCGTGTTTGTTGAGTTAAAACCAAATTATTGTTGTATAAGCATAGCAAGCATCATAGCAAAAAGGCTAACAAACTTAAGAGTTATACCCACCAATTAACATTAGCCCTTCATTCATGACATGGATACCGTAATAATCATACAGAGAGAACATAGTTGCATACCTTTATCTTTTGCTCGTTTCTCCTCTTCTTCTTTTCTTTTTTTTCTAAATTGGGCACCTGATGGCTTTGACCTTTTCCTGTCCATCTCTGTGTTTATTTGGCACTCGACAATCAACAGATTTCCCATCCCCCCAACACTGTCACTCACGACCAGAAGTCAAGACTAAACCAATTCACCTTGGTGACCACATAATCGTTTTGTATTACCTATTTTTATTAGCCATTTCACACAATTCAGAAAAACAAAAATGTGCAGGAACTATAGGCCTGTATTTATAATATTATGAATGAAATGTGCGTTATTTGGAAGAAAGTCGAGGTGTGACTGACTTTAGCCCACTAATTCCATTAGAGTATTGCTCTATACAGTGGACCCCCCCGTCCGTTCCATTTGGGAGAGACCCAGAGGTGAACTGTCCCCCGCACTGCACCCCGCTCCCCTTTTCTGCGGCGGCACAGAGGATTATTTTTTATTTTTTTAACTTCTCGTGCCGCCCCCCATGTATTTTGCACGTGCCAAAAACCGCTACTGACAGGTTTTCTCCATTGCTAAAACACAATTTCTGAAACCTTGCTCCATTTTCTGAAAACATTAAACACAAAACCTCATCTTCAAGCACTATTTAAAAAACCTCTGACTCCTCTTGCAAAATGAAACTTTCGCCTCAAAACAGTTTTACCTGTGTTCAAAATCAAACACTGCTCTCAAATCATAAACAAAGTGATCAAAATGATATACACTATCAAGCAGTCAGTAAACAATACACCAAAAAATAGAAAACACATTGTTCAAAACATATAGTTCTCAGGGAGAAGTAAATTTTTAATCTCAAAACAAATTTCATATTTTTCCGTCATTGTCTTTTGATGAACGAAAACATGTTCTATCATAGTAGCTCAAAATTGATCAGAAATTACTACTCTGCTTTGCTCTTTGCAATTTTTTTTTTTCTTCCTCCTTGTACCCCTATTTTTACAGTAGGGCCTACTGTACCCTGCATCTCACAAACTTGTCCTTTGTCTCTGTGATACTGTAATTCTTGTTCTTTGTTGCTATGAACCTGCAACCAGTCAAAATCTATTGAGCAGTCAGTACTGTTAACAAATGGAAAGCACAATGTTCAGGGCCATACAATTTGTTCATTGTACAGTATACAGCCTACAATGCACTGTACTACAGTATACAATACTAAAAGGGACAAAAATCAAAGGAGTAAACATGTGATCAATGTGCTTCTTCTTGTCTTTGGCCTGGGTCAGGCTAGAGCACTTTGTCGACATCACAAGCAATAATTGTCCCTCCTGAGGCAACGGAGGAAGAAGCCTCTTGTGTGTCGTATCCAGCCCTGACATGATTCCTCACCTATATCACCACAGGCTAAATCCATGGCTTGCAGCAGATTTACTCTGGTGTAGGGTTGTCTATCATATACTTTCCATCTCCAAGAGGAGAAAAACTCCTCAATCGGATTCAGGAAAGGCGAGTATGGAGGGAGGTACAAGTTCATAAACTGCCCATTGATGTTAAACCATTCCCTTCTTGCCCTCCTCCTCCTCTTCCTCCTCGTCGCCCACCTCACATACACACTCGTCCTCATCACATTGTTGCTTCTATCCATTCTCAGACTTTCTCCTTCAACAACCTGTTTGCTCTCTGAACTGGCTTATATTGGTTGTCACATCATTTGAAACAGGTTAAATCAATTTTGAGTGGTTGTGTTCTATCAATGACATGTGTTCTCTATTTGTATTTGATTGTTGCCACTTGTGTTTACCAGTATGGATGACATGTGCATTAGAGTGCAGAATGTGTTTTGAGAATGAGAATGTGTTTAGAGTTTTGCTGAAAAGTCTAAGTGAGATCTGCAAATTGTGTTTTACCATGTGAAATGGTGTAAGGTATTGACAACAGACTGCACAATTAGCTAAATGAGTTCAGGCAACTGAGAACTTTGTTCAGCCAATGGGTTTTAGTGTTTTAGCAATCGAGAAAAACTGTAACATGGGGAGTCTATGGGATTGACTCCCTTTTGCAGCCAGCCTCTAGCTACCAGTTGACGAATTACAGTTTAAGTCACTTCCTTGTTGGCTAGACAGAGAGAGCGGGAGGTTGCCGCTTGGTCAAAACTCAAAATGAGCTCAGGAGCGCATCGGTCAGGCCACACCTACAGCCCTCCCCTAACCCCGGAGGAGAAACCAGCACAAAGATAGCTTTAAATGTATGGTAAAAAATAACTAAGCAAAATAATTTTTTTTAAATTAACAAAGAGTTGTTTTTAATAAATCTATATCATTTCTTAATTGATGAAACCATTCAGCATTCATCCTAAAGCTTTTCACTTTAAAATTAGGTTACACACATTTTCTTCTAAACAATCACATATAAATCACTGGAAAATGATGTTTTGTTTTGTTTTATTTTATTTTATTTTTGTTATCCCCACTTAATTTAGTAGTCTAATTCATTTAATCTGTCTTTTATTTTTGTCAAGATTAATTTACGGTGTGGTATAACAGTTTGAACGCATATGCACGTAAAAATAAGACAGGATTACTCTTTGATTTTCTGTCTGTACACAGTAAATTCCCGAGTGTTAAATTAACACTGCTTGGAGCATATATGGTCCCACTCTAAAAGAGTGTTAAAGTAACACTGAAGCAGTGTTAAAGTTAATGAGATAATTATGTGATTAATTAAGTGCTGATTGAGCATTAGTGATGAACAGCTGCTGTTAACAAGCAGAATCACTGAAGAAAAGAAAAACACGAATTACAACTGACTTCAGCCACAGCCTTAGATGAAATCAACTGAAATAAAAGAAGACATTAAGGCCCAGTTTCGGGCTTAGTTTAAGCCAGGATTAGGCCATAGTTCAATTAGGACATTTAAGTAATTTTATAAACATGCCTTAGAAAAAACATTACTGGTGTGCATCTTAAGACAAAACAAAGGCACTGACATGTTTTAAGATCAGTCAGTGCAAGTTTCTTTCAGTTGAAACAGCTCAGATTTACATTTTAGTCTAGGACTAGGTTTAAGCCTTGTCTGTGAACCCGGGGATAAATCTCAGCAGAA